CTCTGAAAACACCCAGCTCCTCAGAGAGTGAGGAAGAAATGGGGTTTGGCAATCATCCAGTTTGGAATGCCCCAACCCTAATGGATCCTCTTGTCACACAAAGAGATGGTGAAGGGGAAGAACCCACACTGAGCACTCCTGAGGCCCCACTGTCCAAAGCTGTGGAGACCCCCCAAGAACATGATGAGGAAGGTTCAGTGCAGGCAGAGAATCCTGTACCACAAACAGCCACTTTAAACCCAGATGCCCTCGAATTTGTGTCTCAAGGACCCATCATCTTGCCTCTATGTTCAGTGATGTCACCTCAGCCAATACCTGACAGCCAGCCTAGATGTTTCTCTAGGGAAGGGAAGCCCAGGTGTGTGCTGATGTATGATCACTTAGGGGAACCCAGTGACCTACAGATCTCTGGGGTGCCACAGGAGGTGAGTTGCCTCATGGGAAACCTGTCCTGTGGGATGGATGATGGGAATGCTCCTGATGAATGGGGGCCCTGGGTCTCCTGCTGGGGATCCATGGTGTAGAGGACATGGTGATGGGGACATCAAGGATTATTTCTGTTGGGCGGGGGAGAGTGTAATCCCTTTGGAGTTTAGAGATCATGGCCCTTTTAAATCTTTTTCCTAAGGGGGGAGGGGGAGTAGTGAGAGAAAGGAGGGAAACTCCAGGGTGTGGCTCTGGAGCCCCAGAGAGAGGAGGGTTGCAGCAAGCAGGCCCTCGCAAAGTGAAGCAGCAGAGAACCTTCCTGAAGCATGGGAAGGACCGGGCGGTCGATCGGGGACACCCCAGGACAGGAGCCAGGAGGAGCACTGTGCCAGGGAGGAATCGCCTGAGAAGGACAGGCCAGAGCTGGACGCAGTATCACTGCTGCCCAGAGCTGCATGGGGCTGTGAATACTGAGACTCCATCTTGGCCATGAGAGCACTAAAGTTACACATAGATGAACATAATTTGTTGGGGAAGAGTCAACATGGTTTTTGTAGAATTAAATCATGCCTCATCAACCTAACAGAATTTTTGAGGGGGTTAACAAGCATGGACAAGGGGGATCCAGTGGATATAGTATACTTAGATTTTCAGAAAGCCTTTGACAAGGTCCCTTACCAAAGGCTCTTAAGCAAAGTAAGCTGTCATGGGATAAGAGGGAAGATCCTCACATGCATTGGTAACTGGATAAAAGATAGGAAACAAAGGGTAGTAATAAATGGTCAGTTTTCAGAATGGAGAGAGGAAAATAGTGGTGTCCCCCAGGGGTCTGTACTGGAACTAGTTCTATTCAACATATTCATAAATGATTTGGAAAAAGGGGTAAACAGTGAGGTGGCAAAATTTGCAGATGGTACAAAACTACTCAAAATAGTTAGGTCCCAGGCAGACTGCGAAAAGCTACAAAAGGATCTCACAAAACTGGGTGACTGAGCAACAAAATGGCATATGAAATTCAATGTTGATAAATGCAAAGTAATGCACATTGGAAAACATAATCTCAACTATCCATATATAATGATGGGATTTAATTAGCTGTTACCAATCAAGAAAGCAATCTTGGCATCATTGTGGATAGTTCTCTGAAAACATCCACTCACTGTGCAGAGGCAGTCAAAAAAGCGAACAGAATGTTGGGAATCGTTAAGAAAGGGATAGATAATAAGACAGAAAATATCATATTGCCCTTATATAAATAAATGGTATGTCCACATCTTGAATATTACGTCTAGATCTGGTTGCCCCATCCCAAAAATATATATTAGAATTGGAAAAGGCAACAAAAATCTCTCCTCGTATGGAACGGCTTCCATATGAAGAGAGATTAATAAAACTGGGATTCTTTAGCTTGGAAAAAAGATGACTAAGGTAGGATATGCATCCGAGGGTGCAAAAGAAATTGGCGGATGTGATTGCAGAGCCACTGGCCATTATCTTTGAAAACTCATGGCGACCTGGGGAGGTCCTGGATGACTGGAAAAAGGCTAATATAGTGTCCATCTTAAATAAGAGGGAAGAAGGAGGATCTGGGGAACTACAGGCCAGTCAGCCTCACCTCAGTCCCTGGAAAAATCATGGAGCAGGTCCTCAAGGAATCAATTCTGAAGCACTTAGAGGAGAGGAAAGTGATCAGAAACAGTCAGCATGGATTCACCAAGAGCAAATCATGCCTGACTATCCTAATTGCCTTCTATGACGAAATAACTGGCTCTGTGGATGAGGGGAAAGCAGTGGACGTGTTATTCCTTTAGCAAAGCTTTTGATATGGTCTCCCACAGTATTCTTGCCAGCAAGTTAAAGAAGTATGGTCTGGATGAATGGACTATAGAAAGCTGGCTAGATCATCGGGCTCAACAGGTAGGGATCAATGGCTCCATGTCTAGTTGGCAGCCGGTATCAAGCGGAGTGCCCCAAGGATCAGTCCTGGGGACGGTTTTGTTCAGTATCTTCATTAATGATCTGGAGGATGGCGTGGACTGCACCATCAGTAAGTTTGCAGATGATACTAAACTGGGAGGAGTGGTAGATATGCTAGAGGGTAGGGATAGGATACAGAGGGACCTAGACATATTAGAGGATTGGGCCAAAAGAAATCTTATGAGGTTCAACAAAGACAAGAGCAGAGTCCTGCACTTAGGACGGAAGAATCCCATGCACTGCTACAGACTAGGGACCAAATGCCTAGGCAGCAGTTCTGCAGAAAAGGACCTAGGGGTACAGTGGACGAGAAGCTGGATATGAGTCGACAGTGTGCCCTTGTTGCCAATGGCATTTTGAGCTGTATAAGTAGGGGCATTGCCAGCAGATCGAGGAACGTGATCGTTCCCTTCTATTCGACATTGTTGAGGCCTCATCTGGAGTAGTGTTTCCAGTTTTGGGCCCCACACTACAAGAAGGATGTGGAAAAATTGGAAAGAGTCCAGTGGAGGGCAACAAAAATGATTAGGGGGCTGGAGCACATGACTTATGAGGAGAGACTGAGGGAACTGGGATTGTTTAGTCTGCAGAAGAGAAGAATGAGGGGGGATTTGATAGCTGCTTTCAACTATCTGAAAGGCGGTTCCAAAGAGGATGGATCTAGACTGTTCTCAGTGGTAGCAGATGACAGAACAAGGAATAATGGTGTCAAGTTGCAGTGAGGGAGGTTTAGGTTGGATATTAGGAAAAACTTTTTCACTAGGAGGGTGGTGAAGCACTGGAATAGGTTACCTAGGGAGGTGGTGGAATCTCCTTCCTTAGAGGTTTTTAAGATCAGACTTGACAAAGCTCTGGCTGGGATAATTTAGTTGGGGATTGGTCGTGCTTTGAGCAGGGGGTTGGACTAGATGACCTCCTGAGGTCCCTTCCAACCCTGATATTCTATGATATGACTGAGGTCTATAAAATCATGACTGGTGTGGAGAAAGTACACCTCTACCTCAATATAATGCTGTCCTCGGGAGCCAAAAAATCTTACCGCGTTATAGGTGAAACCGCGTTATATCGAATTTGCTTTGATCCACCGGAGTGCACAGCCCCGCCACCTCGGAGCATTGCTTTACCGCAGTATATCAGAATTTGTGTTATATTGGGTCACGTTATATCGGGGTAGAGGTGTAAATAAGGAAGTGTTATTTACTCCTTCTCATAACGCAAGAACTAGGGGTCACCAAATGAAATTAATAGGTAGGTTTAAAACAAACAAAAGGAAGTATTTTTCACACAACGCACAGTCAACCTGTGGAATTCCTTGCCAGAGGATGTTGTGAAGGCCAGGACTATAACAGGGTTGAAAAAAGAACTAGATAAATTCATGGTCATCAATGGTTCATCAAGTTCATTAATGGCTATTAGACAGGATGGATAGGGATGGTGTCCTTAGCCTCTGTTTGCCAGAAGCTGGGAATGGGCGACAGGGGATGGATCATTTGATGATTACCTATTCATTCCCTCTGGGGCACCTGGCATTGGCTACTGTCGGAAGACGGGATGCTGGGCTAGATGGACCTTTGGTCTGACCCAGTATGGCCGTTCTTACGGTGGCCCCAGCAGGCCGTGGTGGTGTGGAAGGGGATAATGGGGATGTGCCCCCAGGTGGCAGTTGGGGGGTGTTGTCGCAGAATGGATTAATGGGGCAGTGGTCCTAGCGGGCAGTGGGGAGGTAGTGCTAAAGGGATCAATGGGGCAGAGGCCCTGGTGGGCAGTGAGAGGAATGATGGCTCGGAAATGGTTATTGGGGCCGAGGCCCCAGCAGGGAGTGGGGTTGGTGGTGGTGTGGAAAGGGTTAATGGGGTGGTAGCCCTGGCAAGCAGTGCGGATGAAGGTGTGGAGGGGGTTAATGGGACTGAGGACCCGGGAGGCAGTGGGGATGATGATGTAGAAGGGGTTAATAGGGCGGTGGCTCTGGCTGACAGTAGGGGTGGTGGTGCGGAAAAGGTTAATGGGCAGTGACCCTGACAGGCAGTGGAGGTGGTGGTGTGGAAGTGGTTAATGGGGCGGAGGACCTGGCAGGCGGTGGGGGTGGTATGGAAGGGGTTAATGGGGACGGAGCACCCGGCAGGCAGTGGGGATGATGGTGTGGAGGGAATTAATGGGACTGAGGACCTGGGAGGCAGTGGGGATGATGGTGTGGAGGCAGTTAATGGGGAAGTGGCTCTGGCTGACAGCGAGGGTGATGATGCGGAAAACGTTAATGGGGCAGAGGACCCGGCAGGCGGTGGGGGTGGTATGGAAGGGGTTAATGGGGACGGAGCACCCGGCAGGCAGTGGCGGTAGTGTGGGAGAGATTAATGGGGAGGTGCCCCAGCGGGATGTGTGTAGCACAGAAGGGGTTAATGGAACGTTGGCCCTGGCCAGCCGTGAGGGGTGATGGCGGGGAAGGGGTTAAGGGCGGGGGGCGGCTGGGAGAGATACCCCTCCCGTGTTCGGAGTCCGGATGTTGAACCTCACTTGCTCGAAGACAGGCGGGTAATCGTGCGTGACTTGGCTCCTTAGGGGGAACCAGGACGGTATCGCGAGAGCGCCCCTTCTCGCTGTGCTTGGTAGCGCGCGGTTTTGGCGGCTGAGTGGGTCTCGCGACACTTGTAGCGCGTGGTAGGAAGTTTGGCGCGGGAGTTTGTGAGGGGAGCGGAGCGGTGTCGGGAGCTTTCGCGCCAGCCAGCCATGCCGGCCCGCAACACCCTGAGCAGCGGCGGTGAGCGTCGGTCCCCTCCCAGGCCTGTGGGGTTCGGAGGACGCAGGAGGGGAAGGAGGAGAGTCGGGGGCTGGAGGGAAGGGATGACTGGGGAGTGTGGGGGGGAGGGAATGGGGGATGACTGCGGGGGGGGGAGGGGGAGTGCCGGGGGCTGGAGGGAATGGGGGATGACTGCGGGGGGGGGAGGGGGAGTGCCGGGGGCTGGAGGGAATGGGGGATGACTGCGGGGGTTGGAGGGAATGGGGGGTGACTGCGGGGGGAGGAGGGGGAGTGCCGGGGGCTGGAGGGAAGGGGTGACTGCAGTGGGAGGGCTGGGAGCTGGAGGAGGAAAAGAGGGCACATGGGTTGAGAGGGTACTGTGAGGTGTTGAGAGGAGGGAGGGAGTGGGTGTATGGGGCAAAGAGTTCAGAGGTATGAGGCTGAGAAGTGTGGATACAGGTTTAGGAGGTTGGACACTGAGGGAAGGGAATGGCTGCAAAGGATCTGGATGGGGTTGATAGTGATAATTGCAGTGGTTAGAGTGGAACCTTCTTGACAGTGTACCCCAACATCTCATGTACAGGGTCAGAATTGCCATTCATTCCCAATGAGAACAATCCTGAGACTCTTGTGCCCTGTATGGCACATGTCAGTTGATTGCTGAGCCAGTGATGCTTACTGCTGTTAACGTGGCATTGTGCAGAAAGGAGCATCTACTACTGTCCTCACGCTGCAGGGAGGCTCGTGCTCTTTGAGCTTATTTATGGTTTTCATGCCATTGTAGGGCACCTGGGGGCAGAGATGGGTGAACAAGCAGAAGCAGCTGTGATTACACCATCCATGCTGGAAGAGGAGGAGCAGCTAGAGGCAGCAGGGATGGAGAAGGAGAGGGAAATGCTGGAAAAGGTAAATTGGAGGGTGTAATCAACCAGCCACCGCCAATACCGGGAGTGAGCCGGGGAGACCTCGTGCACCCGCAAGGGGGAAGAGACCTATAAACCCCCCCCTACTGGGCTTTATCCCCTGAGCCCTGAACCCACCAAACCTAACTGAACTGCACCACGTGAGGGTCACCCCATCTCCATTACCCAGCCCGCTTACTTATACCCATGACTGTCTGTACTTTCTGTATGAGTGATGGCCCCTCACCGCTTGTCGGCTGTATCTTGATGACGCCCACCATTTACCCCCCCCCCCCATTGGGGACATTGCAGTCTGTATATATTATGTGTGCTACCCAACCCCAAAATACCAGCATCCCCCTATACTCTGTATGTTACCCCCAATGACCAATAACTGACGCTTCAAATCTTCTGTATCATTTATTTTTAAAATATTTTCTAATAAAATTTCTGTCACCAGCAAAGCCAAAAATTATGTATTACTTTCTGCCTGTGGGTGCAGATTTGTTATGTTCACTTAACTGACTCGTTACATGCTCGGACCTGATTTGTTGATACTTGTAAAGTTGGGCAAGGTATGCTCTTAATTATCTACAGCTATGCTTTCCAGAGTGGAAATGGTTCATCAGAGTGCACTTCAAGTGAAATCAGTTTCTCAGAAACTGAGAGAGTTTGTAATATTTTGTTATGGTCAAAGGACCGCATTATTAACATTTTTTTTTACCTTATCAATAGATATTTAAGGTGACACTGTCAGTTTACAACTTTGTTTGTTAAATAAATTTGTTAGTTTAAAAAATGTTACTAATAACACAAGTTTAATAAAAGCTTTAGAACTTCAAATCCAATGTAGCTGTCACCATTATTTATCTGTGGCATTTCTTGGGCCTAGAAGTACTGAACGTTGCACTTTAAAAAATGATTTGGAAAAGGGCAGTAGCTTTATAGTGAATTGGTAGGCAGTTCACAACAGTTTGTGAATCACCCATTTCACCTTTTAGTCATCTTCTGTTGTTTGTGTACGCTTTTTATACAGCAGCAGGGGAGAATAAACTTTTTTTTAAAAATGGAAACATGATTATAGCACCACAAAAATTGGCTGGACTAGTACCCGAAACTACTTTAAAATCATTTTTTTAATTGATTACATTTCAATTTGACTGTGTCCTTTTAAGCTTGAGTATTTTAAACTGCTATGGCTAGAAACTAGTATTTTATACACCCTGTAATTATAGCCTCTGGTGAATAATAGCTATAGCTAGGAATTAATACTTATGGTAAGCATTCATCTCTAAATTTAGCAGTTTCTGAGAATGTCTACAATACGTCTTTTAGTCTAGATCCAGACTAACACGGCTACCCCCGATACAAAAATTATGTTACACTTGAAGTGGGGGTGAAATAAGATGATCAGAATGATGTGATTTTTTTTCTTTTTTTTTTTAAGAGAGACAAGATGGGTGAAGTAATACTTTTTTTTGGACCAGTTTCTGTGGCGAGAGAGACAAGCTTTCTAGCTTATAACAGAGCTGTTCTTCAGGTTTAGGAAACTACCTGGAGTGTCACTGTTAAATACAAAATAGGTAGTTAATGAATATTTCAAGTTTCAGCGTAGCAGCTGTGTTAGTCTGTATCCACAAAAAGAAGAACAGGAGTACTTGTGGCACCTTAGAGACTAACAAATGTATTAGAGCATAAGCTTTCGTGGACTACAGCCCACTTCTTCGGATGCATATTGGAATATTGGAATATGCATCCGAAGAAGTGGGCTGTAGTCCACGAAAGCTTATGCTCTAATACATTTGTTAGTCTCTAAGGTGCCACAAGTACTCCTGTTCTTCTTTTTGTGAATATTTCAAGGGACCATTCAAGGTGAAGTGGCCCATTAACACCCCTTCCATCCTGAAAGGATGGGAGGGAAGAAAAGGCAGCTTGGTGGTGCCAGGGTCATTAATGGGTTATAGATTGTTGTAATAAGCTATAAATCCAATGTGTCTATTCCAGTGTTTCTCAACCAGGGGTAGGTAGAGGTCTTCCAAGGGGTACTTAACTCATCTAGATCCGTGTTTCTCGATTTGGAGCTTGCAGCCCTGAGAGTGGTCATAGGATGGGTTTAGGTGGGTTGCAAATGCATGGCTGGCATTAGAAGGTGGCAAGCAGAGCAGTTGCCTGGGGCTCCATGCTTCAGCCCTGGGCGGCAGGGCTTGGGCTTCAGACAAGGCTTACAAGTGAAAAACAGGCTCAGAGTCACAGTGAAATGTAAGTACAATACTTGTATTCCAATGAATTTATTTTATAATTATATGGTAAAAATGAGAAAGTAAGCAATTTTTCAGTACTAGTGTGCTGTGACACTTGTGTCTTTGTCTGATTTTGTAAGCAAGTAGTTTTTAAATGAGGTGAAACTGGGAGTACTCAAGACAAATCAGATTCCTAAAAGGGGTACAGTTGTCTGGAAAGGTTGAGAACCACTGGTCTGTTCAGTCCCTGATTTTTAATGTCTAGCAAAGTTATGAATTTAAGCTCCCAGTCTCGTCTTTTGAAAGTGTTGTGCAGATTTCCTTTGAGAATGAGGACTGAGAGGTCAGATATGGAGTTGTCATTTTGTGAAAAGCATTTGCCACAGGTGATGTGGTGTTTTTGTCTTTTATAATTTTTCTGAGTGTTCATTTGAGAGCATAGTGATTATCTGGTTTCAGCTACATTGTTGTTACTTGGGCATTTAATGCACTGGATGAGGTACATTGTATGTTGTGATGGATGTGTAGGACTTATGGATCTTGAAAGGTGTGTTGTGGGGAATGGGGGTAGATCATTGTAGCAGTAGAGATCCGTATACAGGTTTTGTCTGTTGTTCTGGCAGGGTCTGGTGCTTCTTTGAGTTGATGTGTCCTGATCTGAAGGGAGCTTGCTTCTGATGATGAGCTTGGAGAGGCTGGGGTTTGTTTGAAGGCCACAAGAGGAGGTTTAGGAAAGATTTCTTTCAGGATGTGGTCCTCATCAGGTATGGATTGTAATTGTTTAATGATACCCCATATGGGTTCCATTGTGGGCTGGTAAGTGACAACTAGGGGTGTGCGGTTGGAGAGAATTTTATTTCTGTATTGAAGTAGGTTCTCTTGGGGGTATATCAGTGGCCCATTCCTACTTCTCTGGTGGAGTGTCCTTGTTTGATGATCGTGGTTTTGAATGCATTAAGGCAGTGGTTCTCAAACTTTTGTACTTGTGGCCCCTTTCACATAGAAAGCCTCTGAGTGCGACACTCCGCCCTCCTTAAATATATAAAAAAGTGTTTTTAATTTATAACACCATTATAAAGGCTGGAGGCAAAGTGGGGTTTGGGATGGAGGCTGACAGCGCGTGACCCCTCATGTAATAACCTCACAACCCCCTCAGAGGTCCCAACCCCCAGTTTGAGAACCCCTGCGTTAAGGGGTATATCCTAATGTTCTCGTCAGAGCATATTATGTGGAATCTGAGTGCCTAGCTGTAGGCAAGATTTTTTTGATGTGTTTGGGGTGGCTACTGCATCTGTGAAGGTAGGTGTGGTGATCTATGGGTTTCTTATATATAGCTGTCTGTAGGATTCCATTGCTGAAGTTGATCATGGTATCCAGGAAGTTGATGCTAGTGTGGCAGTGCTCTAGTTTAAATGGATCGATGATGGTTGTTGAATTTGTGGTAGAAATCTATGAGGGAGTTTAAGTTGTCTGTCCAGAGAATAAAAATATTTATGTACTTCAGGTATATAATTAGTTTTGTGCTGCATTTGTCCAGAAATTATTCTTCTGGGTGGCCAGTGAAGAGGTTGGCATTCTGGGGGCCATCCTAGTACCCATGGCTGTTTCCCATGGTTTGGACAAAGTGTTTGAATATAAAATTGTTATGGGTGAGTATGAAATGGATGAGCTTGGTGATGTGTTTGGGGTAGATTTCTGAGTGTTGCCAATTGTCTTGGGGTATGTCTATACATAGTGCTGCAGGGGTGGAGCTGTACCAATATGCTGCACCACTGCAGCGCATCTGGTGAAGACACTCTATGTGGATGGGAGAGAGCTCTCCCCGTCAGCATAAAAAAAAGGCTCTGCGAGTGGCATCAGCCATGTGATATTGTGCTGTGCACATGAACACTTAGGTCAATGTAACTTATGTTGCAGGTGGGGGTGGAATATTCACATCCCTGAGCGATATAAGTTTTGCTGACATAGGCTGTAGTGTAGACATAGTCTTGTAGATGTTTGAGGCAGGCAGTGATGCTGTCATTGGGAGGGATGTTGGTGTATAAGGAGGTGGTAAGGATGGTGTTCTGAGGGAGGTTTTTAATGTTGCAGAGTTTCTGGAGGAAGTGAGTTAAAACAAAAATTAAATCTCTAGAACTATAGTCTTGTATTTCCTCACTTACTACAATCGTCTGTATTGAATTCTCCCTTATTTTTCACATTGCGTGTTTGAATGTGATCTTATGTTCAGCTACATGGAAATTCCTATGTTTAATAATGCCCAATCAGTTCAAATTTAGTGAGTACTAGAACTCTGTACCAATGTTTTACTGTATCTTACAGTTTATGCAAATTTGAAATTGGAAACATCCAGGGACTAACACATCTGGCATCCTTTCTGATACCACTTTCAAGGCAAAGAAAGGATGAATTACCAGAGTGAAGGTTAGGTGCAAAAACTCTGAGAGCATGCATATATTTCCTCCTCTACCCTGATATAATGTGACCCGATATATCCAAATTCGGATAGAACGCGGTAAAGCAGTGCTCCGGGGGGGCGGGGCTGCACACTCCGGTGGATCAAAGCAAGTTTGATATAACGCGGTAAGATTTTTTTGGCTCCCGAGGACAGTGTTCTATCCAGGCAGAGGTGTTCACACCTCTTGGTAATGAGTCTGTGAAGGACATAACCATATGCCAGTCTTGCTCATTAACTTTTTTTATTGCTTAAGCATTTTGCAAAAATTAGCAGACACACATTCATTAACAAGGATTTCAGATATGA